TGCAGTCTACCTACTCAACAGATGTCCTACTAAGGCAGTTCGGGACAAGACTCCAATAGAAGCTTGGAGCGGGAAGAAGCCATCAGCTAAGCACCTAAGGGTCTTTGGATCTATCTGCTACATTCATGTGCCAGATGAAAAAAGGCATAAGTTAGAAGACAAGACCGTACGAGGCATATTCTTGGGCTACAACTCACAATCAAAAGGTTACCGAGTCTACAATCTTCAGACAAAAAAGCTAACAATCAGTAGAGATATTGAAGTAGATGAAAATGCTACTTGGAACTGGGAAGAAGAACGAATTGAGAAGAAGACTTTATACATGCCCATGAGTCAACCAACTACATCAAGTCTGGAAGACAACAATCAAGACATTTTTATCTCTCCAGAATCTCCAAGAATAGTTCCACAACAAGAAGAACCATCACCTGAGTTTACTCCAAGACGAGTTAGATCACTAGAGATCGCTTTTCTTCATGGCCACCTCACTGAAATTGTCTATATGGAATAACCTCTTGGCTTTGTTGATCCTCGTTTTCTGACTCATGTCTGCTGGTTGAACAAGGCTCTCTATGGGCTCAAACAGGCGCCCCGTGCATGGTTTCAACATTTGAGCTCTTTTCTAATGCGCTCTGGTTTTATTTGCAGCAGGGCTGATCCATCCTTGTTCTTCTTCTATCGCGGGCGCATCACTCTCTACCTCTTGGTTTATGTGGATGATATTATTCTTACTGGAAGTGATCCCCCCTTTCTCACTCAATTTATTGCTCGTCTTAATGCTGAGTTTGCAATTAAATATCTAGGAAAGCTTGGCTACTTCCTTGGTCTTGAGATCACTTATACTGCCGATGGTTTGTTCTTGGGACAAGCCAAATATGCTCATGATCTGCTTTCCCGAGCTATGATGCTTGAGGCCAAACCTGTCTCGACCCCATTGGCTGCCGGTTTTCATCTTGTCAGTGATGGAGTGGCTTACTCTGATCCAACTCAGTACCGCTCTTTGGTTGGGGCCTTACAATACTTAACCATTACTCGCCCTGATTTATCATATGCCGTCAACACGGTAAGCCAATTTCTCCAGGCTCCTACTATTGATCATTTTCAAGCTGTCAAACGTATTCTCCGTTATGTTTGTGGTACACAACATTTTGGACTTACGTTTCGCAGCTCACCTTCTCCCGCGGTTCTTGGTTATAGTGATGCTGATTGGGCTCGCTGCACGGACACTCGTCGGTCTACCTATGGCTATGCTATCTTTCTTGGTGACAATCTTTTGTCTTGGAGTGCCAAGAAACAACCTACTGTTGCCCGCTCTAGTTGTGAATCTGAGTACCGGGCCATGGCCAACACAGCTTCTGAACTTGTTTGGTTGCTCAATCTCCTTCGTGAACTTCGTGTTGGGTTGTCTGCGACTCCTCTCCTTCTCAGTGATAATCAAAGTGCATTGTTTATGGCTCAGAATCCTATTGCTCATAAGCATGCTAAGCATATTGATTTGGATTGTCACTTCATCCGTGAGTTAGTTGCCTCTGGTCGCTTGGCTGTTCGCCATGTTCCTACTTCTCTACAACTTGCTGATATTTTTACAAAGGCGTTGCCTCGTCCGTTGTTTGAATTGTTTCGATCCAAGCTTCGTGTTGGTCTCAATCCAACGCTTAGCTTGACGGGGGGTGTTAAGAGCTAGTTATCAGGACTAATATCCTACCATTTATTCTCTCATTATTATGATGTAATTTCCTGTTTTACATTGTAATCTTTTTCTTTAAATCATATTGATTGCCTCACACAAATTGTGGTGAGATTTATCACATCTTACAAGAGGCATCTCTCAGCTGGTTGATAAGATGCTTCTTCTATCCATGGCTAGTTAGTGTTATGTTTTTACTCCTACACATGTCTTTTATACGAATGACATCGTGATCTTTTGTAGAATTACCGCTAAGAATTTGGCTAATCTTTAACATCTTTTTGATCAATATAGTGATGCTTCTAGTCAACTAATCAACCCTTGTAAGTTTAGTTTTTTTAGTCAAAGGACATCTTCTTCTTGAATGGCAGCTCTCACTTCGTTGGGATTTTTGAAGGGTAAAGACTCGTTGGTTTATCTAGATCGATGTTCCAATTTTCAAAGGTAAACCTTAGGCTCATTTCCTTTAGGATACTATTGGTAAAATTCAGGTGAAAATAACTCACTTTTTTTTATATATATTTAGATAACAAAAAAATTGTGATTCAAATTTTAAAATATAAATAAATATATGTATTGTCAATCTAGAGATAAGATGGTGCTAATGGTGGCGGCTTTTGGCCAACGTTCGTCACTCGTAACTATTGGGATACATTCTTATAGTGAGGGGAAAAAACTCTAAAATCTAAAAAATGAGAGAAAAGTGTGTGAAGTAATTCTCACCTATTTATATACCAAATTAGTGAGCCTAATCAAAATGTTTACAAGGCTCGACCCACTAATTAACTAATTAATAAAGTTAAACTTAGACAATAAGTTCCTAGAGTTAACCCAAAATAAAGTGTAGAGGCATAACATTGTGACACATTTTTGGACCATAAGATATCTGAACTGGGTGAAACTCTCAATAGAGAAGTTGTAGATATATGTCTTATCTTTTCAAGCACACTAAGAATGTCCAATTCTAAGTTTGGACTCAAGATATGGCTCGTGCAAGACAACATACTCATTTAGTAAATTATCATACTATTTTTTTTTCCTTAGATGAAGAAGCACAATTGCATGAAAAGACATGTTTTATTTTAACTAAGCTATTATTTTCATTTTTTAATCATTTAATTCCTTTTGTAAAATAGATAGCTTGTTAATATGCCAAGTTAAATTGTTCTTCATTTTATTATGAAATAACAAGCTTTAATTCTGAGCTTCATCATGCAATTTTATGAATACATCTTTTAATTAATCATAACAAGTTTCAACCCCAAATTTAGATCTACTTGTAGTGTCTTCTTCATCTTAGACACTCACTACACCAATGAGACAAATATTAGCCTTCAAATCCTTCTCTTCTTCACTTGATGAAGAATTGTCATTGTCCTCCCATGAAATATAAGTTTTCCCCCCTTTTTCTTTAACTTTTTTGTTGACACCTTGCTTATTTTGCAATGTTGGGTACTCATATTTGATATGGTTGGATTTTTCTATTGAACCAAAGATGAATACATATGTCTAATACACCAATTTTTACTCACTAGCTCTAGTATTCTTAAACCACTTCTGGTTCCCCAAGTATTGTCGACCACTCCTTGCCCGCCAGCTTCACTCACTAGGGCTAGTATATTCTTATCAGCCACTTCTGGCTAGCAGTGAGTATTATGGATCACCCAGGTCAAAACCACTCCTGGTCTAAGTATTCTCGAGCGCTCCTGGCTTCCCAGCTTAACTCACTAGCGCTAGTATTCTTTCATCAGCCTCTTTAGGCTCGTAGTGAGTATTCTTTGACTAGCCGATCTCCAGGCTTTACAAGTATTATTTTCCTAGCCTCTTCAGGCTTTACAGATGATAGACGTATAATCAGGTTTGAGTGTTTGGGTTACTCTCACAGAGAGGATACAAAGGTTTACTACACTCTCTAAGGTTTCACTACCATAGTCCTACATACATTATGAGTGTGTGGGTTACTCTTTTCAATGAGGGTACATAAGGTTACAACACATGATGGCATCCTAGCTTGCATGAACTTGAGATGATCAACAAAGAATAGGACGCCTTCTCCAAGGATCAAGTTCTTCAAAGGTGGCACAAGGTTTTAGGGTGGATGATGATGGAATGGACGAAAATAGAGGTTGGGTAGAAGGTGTTTGAGGAAATGCTTGAGAAGGGTAAATAAGCATTGTCTAATGGTCCAAGATTAACTCCAAGTGCCAAGGTATGAAAATTTTGGGTCCAAACTCCACAAGTCTAGCAAAGGTTCCCTTTTTCTTTTGTCTTTGATTCTTTTGATTTTGTTTCTTTTGTTTCTTTTGACACTTGACTAGGTCACGGTTTTGAGGTCCAAAAGTCCAGCCAATACTCTTTTTTTTTTTTTAATTTTATAGTCTTCTTTTGCTTGGGTTTTATGAAGATGGAGGCCACTCTAGGGTTTCACTCTCCAAGGGTGGAGAATGAAGTAGGCTAGCCGAATTCACTTCTAAATTCCCCTTCACCCTAAACGTTCCATTTATCATCCTTTGGTGAGCCTAGATCTTTGGGCAAGGAGTCCCTCTTCAAGGAGCCGAAATCATCCATGGAAGGGAGGATCCCATCAACACTCACTAAGGTTTCCTTCCTAAGATACGCTTGGAACACTTTACACTACAGAGATAAATACAATGATATATTGTAGATTTGGCTATGAAGAATCGATCTCTGATTTCTCTATTTTTCTCTTGGGCTTGATATTACTTTTGGTGCTTAATGCTCAGAGCCCAAGGCAATGCCTATGGTCATTCTTTCGTTGCTTCTTGCCAACCTTTTTCGATTTGAGGTTATTGCATACTTATAGGCCTGTAGAATTTGCTCGTTGCATATGTCCGTTAAAGCTGATATAGTCGTTCATGACTAGTTTGATCCTTTCATTTAATGCATTTGATCTTGCATTAAATGTTGCTTCCTATTTTTAGACATTGCATGTATTCTTCTCTATCCTATTGTCAGTAGTGTTTGACTGTATCTGAGACCTAGAAATTGTGCGTCTTTTTCTGGTCATGCAGCAATATAGCTGTTGTGCTTTTCTGAAAAAGTAATGCACTTTTTTTGACACATGCATGCTTTTTCTTTTGTGTGCTTCTCTTTTTCTTTGTTTCTTCATTTAGATCATGTGTTTTATGTTGAGAGCTTCTATGTGGTCATAGATGATGTCTTGGTTTGTTTCTTGAGACTTGATTCTTTAATTGCTTGTGTGATAGTATTCGTCTTCGTCTGTTGGCCTTGTGCATCTCAATCTTGGCCTTCGTCTCAGCGTCTGAGTTTAATGCTTTGATTTTTCTTTGATCTGGTTAACAATGTGAATAGATAGACATTGTTTCCGTCTAGAGTTTTTTTCAGTCTGTGTTGTCCTTCGTCTGATGCATAGTTGACTTTCTTCTTATCTTTGTCTCATGCTTGGTCTATTTCTTCACATTGCACTGGAGGTTGTTCTTGACACACATCCATCTGATATTGGACTCATAGTCATCTAGTGCACATATTATACTTTTTCTGTTCAATTAGCTTGAATTCTGGTTCTCATGATGTGCCTTGCCTTAACTATTCTTTTAACAGAGTTGACCATCTGACTTCATTTGATGTTTGACACAACTTTTCTTGTTCTAGGTTTGGTCTTGTTTTGGCTTTTCTTCTGATACTTCCAATGTCTCTTTCTTGTAGTAGACCTCAACTGATGTTTGTTGAGTGTTCTTCCGTCCTTGAGCAGACCTAATTTTGATGCTTGACTAGCCATCATCTGATTTCCTTGTTAAGTTTGTACAAGCTTCGTGGATTCTTGCATTTAATGTATGCTTGCTGAATCTCATATCCATTAGGTCAAAACCTCCCATATGGCACCTAACTTCTCTCACAAGGTAAGAAAACCTACAGTACGTCCAAGAATTTTCACCACTAGGCATTTCTTCTAAGGGGTGCAAAGTTTCTGAAGCATGGACTGTGCAATATTGAACTTGGGTAGCAATGGTAACCCCCTCAAAGTCTAGAGTCATGACTTCATCCTTAATAAGGTTGTGCGAGGATGTGCATTTGGAAGGGCCACCAATAACCTTCTCTTTAGAATCAGTACTATTATCAAGAGGCTCCTACGGAACCTCCATACTTTGGGACACTTGCTTCTCTACTTAGTTCACACTCTCCATCTTTGATACAAGTATGCAAATTTAGCGGTTAAATAAGTGTTTTAATAAAAGAATTATATTTTTAACTTAATTAATTTAAATTATTTAAGTTAATAATATGATTAAAATGTTTTACCGGATAAAATAAAAAAGAATGGATCGTGTGTTGAGAGAGATCTTGCATTAGACTCTTGAGTTCAATTGAAGACTTATTATAAATAAGAAAAAGAGGATTAGATTATTTTTACACGTATGTTTTGAACTTTAAAAGTATTGGCAAAAAAAAAATCTAAATAGAGCTGTTGGAGAATGTGTAGGGTAGTGGAAGATTAACGAAAGAGCATGCTTATGTTATGGAGTTTGTCACTCAAGGGTAAGGAAGAGTGAGGATGTTTCATCTGTATCACTTAAGAGTGAGGAAAGAGTGAATTCTTTAAACTCCATCATCATATTTGTATTGGTTCCAGTAAAAATAAGATCATCTACATACAGAGAGAGTAAGAGAGTATGTTGACCTTGAGTCTTGATGTATAGTGTAGGCTCACTCTTACTCCTCCTGAATCCATGATCAGTGAAGTACTGGTCGATCTTGCTATACCATGCTCGAGAGCTTGCTTCAGGCCATATAAAGCTTTCTTCAATCTCAACACTTTGCCTTCATGGCCTTTCATCACAAATCCTGGTGGTTTCTCCACATAGATCTCTTCTTCGAGTACGCCATTGAGGAATGCAGACTTGACATCCAATTGATAGATGTTCCATCCTTTATGTGCTGCAAGAGCTATTAAAGCTCTTATTGTGTCTAGGCGTGCGACTGGAGCAAATGTCTCATTGTAGTCCACTCCTGGTTGT